AGGCTGTAAGCGCGAAGCAGGGCAGACCTGGGCTCAAATTCTGGGCCCCTGCTGGGTGTGTGTCCCTAGGAAAGTCCCTTTCCCACTCTGAGCCCTTCCCTCCGTGAATGGGAACGATGAGGCCTTGTTGCTAGAGCTGACTCAGAGGCGGTGAGTCAGGGGAGTGAAGCTTCCATCCCTGAGCAGGCCACATGACACGTGAGGGTCCTGCCTTTGGACGTCTGGTCAGGGGCATGGAACCCAGGCAGTGAGCCACAAGGTGGCACCCGAAGGTCTCCACTTTTACCTAGACATAGTAGCAGTTTCTGGAGCCCTGCCTGTGTGCCCTTCAAGGGGCTGGACCCAAAGACACACGCCACAGCCGAGGCCCTCACTGCCCCTGGTTGCTGCTCCTTTGAGCCCTGGTGTTTGGTTCTATCTTTATAGATGAGGACACTGAGGCACAAAGAGATGAGGCTACTAGCCAAAAGTCCTACTGTGAGTGGTGGGCATTACACTCCTGGGGACATCTGAGGGCCTTTGCCACCTCCCTTTGAAGGTCCTTCCAGCTGTGGGAGACCCCAGGCCACCCATTCCCGAGCTGGTGCAAGGCTGCACCCAGGAACTGAGAGTTAAGGATGAGTCTCTAGTCTCTGCCCCTCACTTACTGTGTGACTTTGGGCAACCCCTCAACCTCTCTTGAGTCTCAGTTTTCTCATTCATTAAATGCGGATAACTAGATATAATCGAGAGGGTTGTTCAACATACAACCAATAGTAATTGAGCATTTTTTATGGGGTGAGACCCCCCTGGGGCTGCAAGTGCTATGGTGAACAAGGCAGGCAACAGCCCTCCCCTCGTGGAACTTGTTCCTGGGCAGAAGATGCCAGCAGTTAACAAACAAGAGAGTGTCAGCTAGGGTGTGCCCTTGGAGGCCAACGAAAGCCGTGCCATGTTAGGAGAGGAGTCGGCAAAGGCACGCGCGGGCTGAGAGTGGATGACAGGGTCCGCTCTGTAGGCCCCCGGGGAACCAGTCCCCCGGGGATGGGAATCCTGTGCCCAGGGGCTATCGTGGCTGGCAGGTGACAGTACCCTGCCCGCCTCCCAGGCCATCACCATCGAGGCTGAGCCACGGGCCGATGGCAGCCGCCGGACCACGCGCTATGACATCGACATGACCAAGTGCATCTACTGCGGCTTCTGCCAGGAGGCCTGCCCCGTGGATGCCATCGTTGAGGTGAGCGGGCCCGGCGGTGAGGGAGGCCGGGGCGGGAGCTCCTCGTAGGGGTCTGACGGGGCAGCTGCACCTGCTCCCTTACTCACAGGGCCCCAACTTCGAGTTCTCCACGGAGACGCACGAGGAACTGCTGTACAACAAGGAGAAGCTGCTGAACAACGGGGACAAGTGGGAGGCTGAGATCGCTGCCAACATCCAGGCTGACTACCTCTACCGCTGACTTGCCCGGCCAGCCGGCCCGTGGCCCCTCCTGCCCAATAAAGAAGCTCTGATGCCCCCACTGCCTCTGTCATGAATCCGCCGTTCAGGCCAGGACCGTCTGCAGCCCAGTCACGGCCTGTGGGTCCTTCCATGAGACTAGGTCCTTGGACAGAGTCGCTCCCCGTACATATTCCCCAAGGCTCACCTGCCAGAGGGCAGCTTAGGTCAGCTGTTCTCAAAATTCTAGGTATCCAAGGGGTGGGGTAGGGGCCTCCCCTCTCCCGAGGGCCTCCCACAACTAAGCCCCTAAGGACACAGAGCCTCAGGCGGACATATATCAAGCAGCAGAAACTAACAAAGGCCAAGGCATTCTCGTTAGGGAGCAGGGGGAAGCCTGCTCTGGGGGTGACAGTCACGAGGAGGTGACACAGGCCCTGCTGCCCCTGAGCTGGCTTTGCTTTTCCTCCAGCCACATCCCCTTTCCTCCCCAAGTTCCCTAGACCAGGCTGCTGGCTTGGCTTCTGCTGCTCAGGACTTCCTGCTTGTAGTTTCAGCAAAGTGATGTGGTTCCCTCTAGGGCCGCACACAAGCCCAGTGCCAGTAGAAGAGGCCAAAACAGCCTCCTTTAACTTTGCACTGAGCAGTGTGAGGGGATTTCAGTAATTCTTAGCAAGGAGGAAACTGGCTCAGAGGGGTGAAGCGACTTGCTCAGGATCACACAACATACATCAGGTGAAAAAGATCATCAGACTCAAGTCTGAGATCTCCAGGTTCCCTTTCTCTGTCAATTCCAAAAGTGCTTTTTACAAAACATGAATCTCCCAAGATTCTTCTTGGAAGGAAGGAGGAAGGGTGCTCTGTGGACCAGTAAATGTGGGAAATACTCCAAGTGCCCTTTCCCCTCTGAGACAGGAACTGCATGTTAGCACATTCAAGGCTCTGAGAAGGCCTGCAGCAAAGAAGCCTTTGCCCAGTTCATTCCCAGGGAGCCCCTTTTCTCAGATCACCTGCTGATATCGGGGCTTCCTTCCCAGGCCAGGATGGATCATCTGATGCAGAGGTAGCCCAGGACCTGTGTGGTCCCCACCACTGGCCAAGGTTTTGGGGCCCCTACAAAATAGCACAGAGGTGAGAAGTGTAGGCCCAAAAAGGAAGACTGGAGGCCAGGAAGTGTCCACAAGTCTAACACTGCTGGTCCTGGTGACTGCCAGAGGTAGGAACTCTCCAAAAACAAGGCAGTTGTAAGAGACAGGCTTTAAAGTCCTGTATCACCTCATTTTGCTTTTCCCAGACATAACTGGTGTTAGATACTTGACATGGAGCCTTTGTAATCAGGTAAATGGAATACTCACTTAAAGTGGGTGAGACTGCAGCTCCTGAGTTGATTCTTCCCCTTACTAACAGGTCAGGGTGCAGCTCTAACACCATTTTATAACACGACAGTTCCAGTTTCCCCTGACCTGAGGCTCCCACTGGTATTCAGTATGGTTGTGTAGAGGTTCCCCCTTGAAAATAGGCCTCCCTGAAGACACTGACCTTGGCTGTGGCTGTTTTCAGCCCCTAGCTGTGGGGTTCCATTTGCCTGCCCTTCCCTGACCCTTCAGTGGCCCTTCCCCTGTGGGGGTTCAGGGATCATCAGAGTTATGATCCCCGTGTTGCTCTGGTCCCCAGTGGGTACAGTCTTAGCCTGTCCAAAGTGCAGGCAGTGGGTCAGTCATGAGTCCCAGGTTTGGGGTGCTGGGATACAACCAACTGCGTCGAACTAGTTAGGAGCAAGGTGACTGGGACACACAACAGGGGAGTGACAGCTGGGCAGAGCATTGCCCAGCCCCTGCTGGGTGCGGGGCCCGTGTCCTGGCCCTCAGTGTCCTGCCATTGAGGAAAGAGGCCCAGAAAGGGGCAGCCACCCACCCAAGGGCACAGACAACTGGGCCTGGAGTCCAGGTCCCCGTCCTGGGTGGTCAGAAGCCGGAAGATGTAAGGACCCGTGTAACTGCGGACTCACGCATAGGCGTCCCAGAGGTGGGGACACGTGGGGCTTGAGCCTCAGGCCTGAGCATACTGGGGTCCTATAAGCCATAGGCCCTGTGAGCCCTCTAGATGGTGGAGATCCTATCCCACAGTCCCCAAGCTGGGCCTGGGCTGGACATCTCCCCGCATCCTGGCCGTGTAGATGTGCCCGGTTGGTGTTAGTCACTGTCTCCGCTCCCGTTTCCGGGCCTCTGTGCCCAGATTAAGCGGCCCACGGCTCCGAATGGTCCCGCAGTCTGGGGCGAGGAAGCGAGGCTGGCGCGAGGTCTTGGAGCTAGGTCTCAGCCCAGGGCCTGCCTCCCACCCTACTTCTGCCGCTGCGCTGCTGCCGCGCTCCTCCACCCAGGATCCCTCTCCCACCCCGGCTCCCAGGACTCGGTGAGGAGGCTCCGGGAGGGCCAGGGGCGGGGCTTCCCTGGCTCCGCCCCCGGCCCCGCCCGCCGGGGAAAGTGAGTTGCGTGGGCGCCGCGGCGAGGAGTGAAGATCCCAGAGAGCCGAGCTGAGCAGAGCTGCGAACGGCCGACCCCGGGTGAGTGCCCCGGCTAGGGGCTGAAGAGCTCCCAGCTCGGCCCGCCACCCTCGCTTCCCTCTGCCCACTCCCCGACCCCGGAAGTGGGTCTTGGCGCCCCCACCCAGTTGGGTCAGTAGTTGCAGTTCAGCCCGCCGGCTCACCGGCCCGATGGGTGTCACGCCGTGCGGGGGCCTCAGAGGCGACTAGGAGGAGGAGGAGTAGAATGAGGTGTTAATAGCCTGTAACAGCAATTATTGAGCTCAGCTGTGCCAGGCTTGAAGGCCCTCAGAACTCTCTCTACTGCATCTTCCAGGGAGGGAGGGACCATTTTACAGATGAGGAAACTGAGGCCCACCCAACTAGGAAGAGAGAGAGCTAGAGGAGAATGCAGACACACTCCTCCAACCCCGCTCATCATGACGGGCCAGGGGCTCAGAGGAGAGATCTGGTGGGTTTCTGGAGAATTTGGCCTTAGCCTCTAGCCTCCCAAGGGACCAGGAGGAGGAGAGGGGCACAGAATGTCTAGAGACTGGACTCTGAAGACCACAGGACTGAGGCATCTTCATTTGCTCCATAAATGTTGCTGGGGTAGCCCTGGGTTCAGACAGGGGCCAGGGAGGATGAGGGGGAGGGGATGAGCAAATGGTCCCTGCACACCGGTGCTCACCACAGTTTGTCTCAGCCGAGGGAGGTGCCCAAGCCCAGGGGCCTGTGAAGCAGGGATTCCAGGCTGGAGTTGCCACAGCTACTGCCCTGGCCTCCTGCCCCACCCAGATTCCCAGACTCAGGTCTCTGCAACCCCCCATTTGGCCAGACCAGCCTTTTGGGGTGTCCAGGGCAGAGAACAGCCCTCCCCTGAGCATATATGTGGGCTGAGACTTCCAAACCTGCAACCCAAGGGCGTGGCTCCTGCCTGACTTGGCCATCTGCTGATCAGTGTATAAAACAAGGCTACGGTGCCGACCCCCCACCCCCAGCCCAGGGACTGCTGTTAGATTTAAATGAGGTAGTATGGGTGAAGGGATTACATGGAGGCCCTGGTTATTTTTATCTTCCCACCAGGTCCTACCTCTGCTGGGGTGGTCAAGTCCCATTCACCCAAAGAGGAAGTAGAGGCCCAGAGAGGGTGAGAGACTCCCTCAGGGTCACACAGCTAATCACAGCTTGGACAGGGGTTGGAGCCCTTGTCCCTGGCCCTCTTGCCCACCCTTCCCTGTCTAGGGCCCAGTACTCCCATGGCCTCCAGCTGTCTCTCTCCAGCTGTCTCTCAGCATTCTCTCTTCTCTCCTGGGTCCAGGCTGGGGAAGGGGCTGCATTTCCTATTTATACTTAAGTAAATGAGGCCCAGGGGAGGAAGTGACCAGCTAGGTGGGCCCCAGCCAGCCCAGGTAGCAGTTGGGGCACTCTGGCACCAAATGTTCACCCTCAAAGTGGCCCCATCTCCCTGTGCTTGCCCCTTCCCCCTGTGCCTGTCCCCTCCCAGCTTGGTTTGAGATCTAAGGAAACTGAGTCCCACAGAGGGACGTGGCTGGCAGTGGGCCCCAGAGCAGCAGCCATAGAGTCCTGGCTTGTGGGCTGGGTGTCTGTCTACAGCCGTTGGAGGCCCCCTGGCCCTCCCCTGCTGGCGTTTGAGCAAGGCCAGGCCTGGCCCTTCCTGCCCATTTCACAGTTTCCACAGTTTCACTTTTGTTATTTCGACACCTGGAGGGCTCCTCCCGCCCCACCCCTCAGAGGTGGCTTCCAGGCAGCCCAGACCTCAGGGGAAGGTCCCACTTCATCAGCGCCCCCTGCCAGTCCTCTCTGCTGGGGTCCTGGGGAGGCCCCCACCCCTCAGCATACACAGATGCCACAGGGAGGGAGGAGGGCTCTGGCTGCCTGTGAGGACAGGCGGACATCAGCCCTGATGTTCCTTGTCACAGATGCTTTGTGGGGTAGAAAGGAGGGCTCCTGGCCGTGGTGGTCAGGAGGCCAGTGCTGGAGGTGACCTTTGTCCTGGGGCCACTGTGGGTGTATAGGATCTCCGGTGAGGGCAGGTCATAGAGTAGGGATAGCAGGAGCAGGGGCCAGATATGAGAAGAGCCAGTGTTGCCAGGAGCCACCAGGGGTGGGGGGCAGGGGTCTCGGACAGGGCAGAGCCAGCTTGGAAGGAGCTTGGAGCTGGACTGTGGTTCTGGCTGTGGGGTCAGCCAGGCCAGGCTCCACTCCCAGCAGCACTGCTTACTTCCTATGTGACCTCAGCACCCCATTGAGTCATCCTGGGCCTCAGTTTCCCCATCTGTCAGGTCGGGGTGGTAGCAGTACCTTTCGGGATTGTGTAAGCACAGAATTCCTACCTGGTGGGGAACTGCCTGTGACCCACCTCAAACTAGACTCCCGCCCCCTGCCCACCCCCAGGACCATGGGCTCCATGTTCCGGAGTGAGGAGGTGGTGCTGGTCCAGCTCTTCCTGCCCACAGCTGCTGCCTACACCTGTGTGAGCCAGCTCGGGGAGCTGGGCCTTGTGGAGTTCAGAGACGTGAGTGGGGCCGGGTTGGGCAT